ATGCGCTTTTCTCAAAACACTCTGGCGGGCGGGCGGGCGGGCCTCGGGGAGTGGCTATTTAAAACACTTGGCTCCTTTTATCTCACCACCGTGGAAGTGAATTCGGCTCTTAAGTGCCAGAGCAAATGAAGTCATTTGGTTTCCGCGGGCTCCCTTTGCATTTTAGCAGAAGTTAGACTGGACCAAAGTCGGAAGGTCCAGCTGAAGTTGTTCTTTCTTCCAATTAAAATTGATTCCACAGAGGCTTTGGCGCCTGGGTGTCATTAACTTTTATTTTTTTTGAAAAGACACTAAGGTCATAGAAAATGTAAAGAACATCGGACACTGGAACGAATGCTGTCAAAGATGACTCCCTTCACAAAATGCCATCGAGTATGACCAGATAAGGATATCAGCTTCAAAAGGCTTGGCTGCTAAAAAAGATTGACAGTGATTTTTGTCAAGTGAATTCATAAGATTTCTGCATTTCTTTCTACCTTCTACTCTCTCAAAAGACGTTCCTATCTTTGCAGAGCGTGTCACTGATGGTAATAAAATATCTATTCAGTTAGTTTACTATCAGGGAAAAGACTGGTTTTCAAAGAGAACTCAGCAACACATAGCATCTGGTTATGCAAAAATGCACAAGATGCGGGTTTGGATACAGTGCAAAACAAAAAAAGAAAGCCTCTTTCCTAATACGCAGATCTGGTTAACTATTACAAAAGCCCACTCGTGTCATCCCCCCCAGTTACCCACACCTAAGCAGACAACATTCTTGGATGAACTTTTCAAATTTTCTTAAACATTCTCAGTTTTAAAAAAAAAATCTCCTTTCAAGTTAAAATTGAGATTGCACTTGAACTCCATCCAAGAGCGGAGCTGAACTGAATTATGATAATTAGAAAGCTGTGCCTATAAAAAAGCAGCACAGTTCATGCATTTTTTTAAAAAGTTCATGCCAGAGAATATAAGTTCAATATGTTCTCACATAATTAACATTTCCCACCATTAGCAGCAGTTTTTCAGTTTATATATCAGTAAAAACAACAGCACTCGCCATTGTAGTATCTTCCCCAACAACAGTGTTTCAGTCACTTTACACATACATCTAAGCCTGTCAGATGCCTCAAAGCAATGAGAATTTCCCAGTGGAGATGATGGTGGTGCTTAACTTGGTCATCGATAAACTGGCTTCTTTTAAACCCCTTTTCCAGTGCTGAATCCTGCTCCTCAAACTAAAACTGCTAATGCAACCCTAGGGCAGAGCCTTAAAAACTAATGTGAAAAAGGATTACATCAGAATAGTCAATTGGCGTGGGGGGGGGCAGCCGGCAATAGAGCCAAGACAGAGCCTTCTTCCCTTGGCCTGCCACAAAAGTAGAAAAGACAGCCTCTTAGGAACTTCCCCCACAACCCCCCCAACCCTTACCCAATCAGAAGAGAGACCAGTGGTTCCACAGTTAGCCAGGCGGGACTCCCAGACTATGGAAACTATTTTCTCAGAATCCTCCCAACCATGCAAAAAACCAGTGGACAAAAGGAGAACGTAAGAGCTGAGAGCAACTCACCCAGTAAGAAACACCGTCCTGAAAACCCACTCTTCAGGGCATCCCATTTGCTGTGACTAAAATTAAAATACATATTTCAAAATTCTCTTATGCTGCACCACTACAAAGCCCAAATGTATCCAAAGACGTGGTTGGATTTCACCCATGAGTTCAAACAAGGGAGTGCCAAGGAAGCTTATGATGACAATCTTACAGACTGAGGACTCTCAACAGTTCACAGCTTTGAAACAAAACAACATAAAAACCCACACAAAAACACTCCAGACATTTAGATCCAAACATTCTAGCATTCCGCAAACTATCCCAGAAGAGAGAAGGCCTCAAACTTCCCTGATTTCAGATGTATTCAGTAATTGCCATACAAGAGGGTCTAAATTGGTATTTGTCAAAAAGCCCAACCCTGAAGCATTAAGCGCTAAGAATGGACCTGAATTACTTTCAATCTAGGTGACATTCTATAACCTTAGTGAACAAGAAAATAAAATATACCCCTGATATTGTTCAAATATAATTTGGGATCTAATTTAAATACCGCAGGGTAATCTGTGGCTTCTACAGATTAAATAAGAAAAGGCACGAGGCAGCTTACAGCTGAGATTACTCCAACCATCCGTCAGTCCCCAACAGCCCAGGAGCACAGCCTAGGTCTGTCAACGGGCAGTAAGCTTACAATATAGTTTTCTGGCTGAGTTCAGAAGTAGGAATTAGCACTCTGCAGTTCCAGTCACTGAACTCTAAAGAGGAAGCTGTAATGCCCGCATTTATCACAGAAAGGTGGGCTCTGGTTTCCCTGTGGTTCTACAGAGAAAGCTGGACATCTAGCCAGTACTTTGGAAAAAACAGATCCAAAAAGTTTTATCACTAAACAGATCGAATCTCTAAGCACTGCTTTCACTCCGCAATGTTTTCCTCTCCTTTCGCAATCTCCTTATTGGGAACAAGATAAAGTGCCTAAAATACAAGCTTAAAAGTGTTATCTACCTAACTGTAAGTGAACATGGATCATTTTACATACATGGGGTCATACACGCAGTTATTTGCACCAACGTTTTAAGTGATAAGACACCACAATTTTCATTTGCAGGCAGTATAATTGTGCTCACAATTAACAAATAACACATGAGATTAGAAAGAGTAATGTCACTGATGTGCAAAACTCTTGTCCAACCGCCATGTATGACAGATCAATCCATTTCTGAAGCAATAAACCATAAAATATTATTAATGGCACAGCTCATACCTTCAAAGGCTGGTCTAACATGTGGACTCTACACTCTCTGTTCCTGTTACACATTTTTCTACTGAAAATGTGACAATAAATATGATCTAGACCCCCATGACAGACTACAAGTATATCCCTCCAAGTTTTCCCATTAATAAATGTCCTCTTATACTTGCTGTCCTGTATTGTCAGAGCCAACAAAATTCAAAATTGTTTATAAATGACTGAATTTCAAGCAGCAAAAAATCCATTGTTTTCCTAATGACTTGCTTGTCCTTTTTCTTTAAAAAAAAAAAAATGGAGGGTACCAGTGCCCAAAGTGAGTATGTGAATATGTAATTCTTGCTATATAAAGCAAAAGAAGGGGTGAGAGGCAGAGGGGAAGGGAGAAGAAAGCTGACTTTCCCCAGGCTTCCCCCCACACCCTGCCCTTAGGTGTAATTAGTTTGCTGCTGGGGCCTAGGCACACACTGTACTACCTCTCCGTGAAAAATTCAGTTCAGTCTGGCTCAAACTAAGTTAGCATGCCCTTCTTCTTTAAATCAAATTTCATTAAGTATATGCCATGGTGAGTGCTGGTTTATGTTTTGGGGAAAGAAGGGGGGGGAAAAAAGCTGTCAGGCATGTTCCCTGGATGGAGTTATATTTGTCAACTTTATAAAAGATCACACCGAGTTAGAATCTACACAAAAATTATTTAATTTTTCACTCTTACTGTCAAGGCAAAGTATCATATTGATTTTGTTTCAAACTTGGAAAGAGAAAAAAAAAAGGAAAGAAACAAAAAAGTACTCTGATATTCTCCTAAAAGCGCAAATCAAATAATATCTTTCTTTAAATTAAAAATAAAATGGTCTATATTGGCACTTTCATATCATCGGCAAGAACCAGTAATGGATACAGCTTATCAGTTCATTTTTTTACACCAATAACAAATAAAAGAACTGTAAATGCTGTTTAAAACCTGAAACCTGAGAGTCCAACACAGAGTTGCACAAAGAAATACTAAACAAAAATATCTGTGACCATTTATGGAAATAGTGAGATTAGAAAAATAAGCCTTTCTTCCCCAAAATAATCAACAATTCAAAACCTCACTGTTGACAAAGGTTCAACTAATCCATCTGTCTTTCCTGAGTCACTTTGTAATTAGTTCTACTATTTCCTTCTAAAGAGGGAAGATTCTTACCAAAGTTGGATCTAAGTCTAGCCCTTACAAGCATTTAGATGTGCTTAGGCCCAAAGATCCTGCTACTTACAGAAGGGCACAAACCCAAGAGTGAAAGGACGAAGCACTGCGCACAGCTGAGGTCTGTTCCCCAACCACGACCTCACAGTACCCAGGCAGAGAAGCCCCGGTACATAAGACATCAGCCAACATTCACTGCAAGCCGCAGAGAATAAAGCCCACTCCCTGCTCTGACAATGCAGCCAGATCACGGTTTCCCAAACAGATCGTCTATTCAGGTAACCACCTGCAGGCACCCAGCTCACAAGCGATCAGACCACCTGAACTTCCAGAAACAATCAAGGCGAAGGGCGGGGAGAAGGAAACCTGTGGTTGTCATGAACTGATAGTGTTCTGCTCCTTCGCAAAATCTGCAGCATTTTTAATACTTTTTTTAAACTATTTTGAAATATGATAGGTTTGCAGACCTTTCTGTCGCAGGACCTGGACTTCCTCTAAGACACTGTCTTTAAAACACGGCCTTTTTACATTACCCACTCCTGGAACATCATCTGTCTCTAAGTTTCCAGGGCTTACTGAGGTCAATTTTCATTTCTGCAAATCACAGGCAGCCACTTGCTTCTGAGAAGTTAACAAGCCTCCTGAGAAATGCTGGTGGCTGGTATTTCATTGTTTCATAAATATTTTTATACAGTGACACCACTCAACTTTAAATAAATCTTTAAAAAGAATTTAAAAGCAAAGGAAATTATTATCTGCATTTTATTTATTTTCTTGGTAGGAAAATAAGGGAGGTGTGAGGCCTCCATTGTGTTCAACTCATTTAAAATGTTGCTTCAGTTTTAAAAATTAGAAACACACTAAAAGAAAAAAAAAGGAAACTCATAGAAGTTGAACTTTCTTTAAAGTGGGCCTCTGGACTTTTGAACAAAACAAATGTCGCTGCTACGAACAAAGACTAGAAATGCACCCTGATTTTCTCCCCTCCTGGGGATCATTTCTCTTCCGATAAACAAACAAATCCGCCAGTATTTCCTACCGAAGGGAAGTTTTCCAGGGAGAGTCTCCTCCAGGGTTTGGTGGTAACTGCGACTCAGTCTTTTTTGGACACAATGTTTCTGCTGACTCCTGAAAATTTTCCACTTGAATGTGCAATGAAGCGGCGGCGACGGCGGCGGCAGCGGCAGCAACAGTCCTGGAGAAGCGGCAAAGACGACCGTGCCTCCTTTCATCTTTGAGAAGAAGGAGCGACACCCCCGCCAGCAGCACAAGTCGGCGCAGACCCCGGGCTGGCCTCGGGGGGCCCCGACGCCTGGGGCGGCCGGGCAGGCGCGGTGGGGGGGTCCGGCCGGCTTCGGGCTCCCAGGCGGCGCCGGCGGCTCTCCCAGCCAGCGCTCGCTCCGAACTTCTGACTTCTCCGAGAAAAACGTGGAAACTGCCCGAGGGTGTGTGCGTGTGCGCGGGGGCAG